CAGGGCTGCATTTCTTTACCTGACCATCTGAGAGCTATTTCTGGCCTTGGGATCTCCTGTGCTCTGTCTCTTACTGCCCCACACCTGAATTCAGCCCTGCATCCTGCATCCCACGTCTCAAGACCTCTGCTGTCCTACTGGGCCTGTATTTCTGCACTCTGCATCATCATGTTATAGGCAGAAACATCTCACCCTGTGCAGAATACCTGCTTGTTGCTGCTGTCTGTATAAATTGATGGTTGTTATCCACAGACACCTGGTTATTAGAAAAAATGCTATTACAGGTAAACCAAGTGAAAACAAAGCTCCAAACAGGTCAACAAAAATTCAAACAAAGCAACCAGACAAGCCTCTGACCTGAGGCCTTGCAAACTCAGTACACTCCCCGTGGCTTGGTACTAGCAATGCTGTACCGCTGGTCCGCAGGGCTAAGCACCAAGTGTTTGGGTGTCGGATGTCTGATCGGCTTAGACGTTTCTCTCACCCAGTAAATTAATTCTGCCATCCTGCTCATTGCTACGGGGGAACTTCAGGCTGGGGCACACAAGGGAAAGTAAAGCTCAGCCCTTACCATGGGGGGTGGCGAGCCTTGCCTTGGTTTTATTTTTTAGGTGAAGACTCTGATTATTTCAGAAACACTTCAGCTATAAAAGCAGCAATGGTTGCTGAGCAACAGATACTCCCACATACCAAGCCCTGAAAGACAAGGGAACAGAAGTAGCCAAGGGCAATGTAAATCCTATGATGTTTCTGCAGAGCAGGGCTATGGCTTGAGGTCAAGCTCTGAGACACATGGGAGACACAAGGAATTCCAGGTCCTTGTCCGGTGTCAGAACTGCTCCAATCAGTAGCAAACAGATACTTTCTCATTAAACATAGTCCATGGATTTTTTTTTTCCAAATTCTGACCTATAGATGTATGTATTAATTGCTAATTTTTCTAATTATTTTTGTAATTTTGCTATCTTTTCACATCTGTTTTCAGGATTACTCTCAGATGATTGATTTACTGATCGGTTAATAGTGTTTTGGTACAGGATAGGCAATTGCTGTTTCTTGATGAGAATGTGTTTTTTGAATGGAAGGCTGTGACACAGTCAGTGTAAATGTATGCTTGCATTTGAGATTTGTCTGTGTGTTATGAATGTGCATAGCTGTAATTTTAACCTGTAAATTTAAGAGAGGATTTGTGTCAATATTTTTTAAAATTACTGTTACTCATTATTTTGGAAGAGCACCAAGTTTAGCGTTGGGATGAGAGATGTCTTCGTGTATTCCCCTATATTTAATAGGAATGTGTGTCTATACATCAAGATGATGCTCCTAGGTGCCTTTTCCTATATGCATAGTGTTTTACCAGTCAGGAGCGTAGGAGATGCTGCAAGCAGGCTGCTTCATCTGGTTCAACCACTGGTCTCTCACTGTGGCAGCAACATATCCTTCAGAGGAATACCTAAATAATGAGAAGGCAGATAGAAAGGAGGCAGATCCTTCCACAGAGACTTTTCCTTATTCTGTTTAGAAGTCAGGCATGCCTGAAGCATGGAATTTATACCTCTTTTATTCATATAAAAAATCCTTACAGATTTACCACCAGGTATTACGGGAATGCTGAATTTTTTACTCACATTAAATCATTTACTTTGATGACCTCATGGTATAATATATTCCTGCAGTAACTGGTGTGTCGAGTAAATTATTTGCTGTATTTTGTTTTTCTAATTTTTTATTTCTTTTTCTAGTGGCTTCTAATGAAGTCAAATGGAAGCCAGAAACCATCAGCACCGACCTGTTCTCAGAGTATCCTGGATTAGAGGATTTAATGAAAAAACAAATCCATCCACTTAACAAGGGGGTACTGGTATTTTCAAGGGGTTGGGCTGTTGACATTGGATTGCGGAAAAAACAGGGTGTTGTGTGTGATGTTCTCTTAGAAGCTGAAAATGCATATCCAGTATTGTATACTGTAGTCAAGGACGCCTCTTCTGCCGAGTCTAAAAACTCGAGAGAAACTGCTTATGCATTAAAGTGGAAACTAGTCAATGATGGGGGATATGCTTCAAAAGTGTGTGTGATTCCCCAAATACTGCACCTGAATGGCACAAAGAACCGGATGGAAGTTGCAGAGGATGATGTTCCCCAGCAAGAAAACCAAGAAAACCCATGTGATTATGCCAGCTTGTACCCAGAGAATTACATCCTCACCTCCAGGGACATCCCCGCGTTCCTGCGTGCACTTGTGATTGTTGTGCTGCACTTTAAGTCCCGCTTAAGTCACCATCTTGGCTGTGAGATTTTCAACCTTCTCACTCTGAAACAGTATGAGCTGCTCTCCAAGAACCTGCACAAAGTCAAGGAGCGGTTTGTCCTTGGTCTTCCTGGAACAGGGAAAACAATTGTGGCTTTGAAGATCACTGAGAGAATAAGAAACATTTTTCACTGTTCTGCAAAAGAGATACTCTACATTTGTGAAAATCAACCCTTGAAGAAGTTTGTGGGGTAAGCAGTAATGTGTATTTCCCCTTTTTTCTTTCATTCCATCCTCTGTACGTACAGCACAAACCCTGCTGATTTTAGATCTGTTTGCCAAATATATAACTTTGGCTGACAGAAACACACAATAATAATCTCAAGAAAGGTGTTAGTATTGAAAGTATTATTGAGCTGAGCTCTGGCCCAGATCCAGCGTTCACTGACTGCAGTGAGAATCCCACGTTCCGTGATTGCTGGATTGTGTTAGACCTTCAAAAGACAATGGCCTTAGTTTAACAGTCTATGACGGCTGATGCTGACACCAAAAATACCCACCTGCCTTCCTCTGTTGCTGCCTCAACACTGCCTGTGCTGGGCCTGATGCAAGCTCTTGTGCAGCTGTGCTAGGAACTGGCCCTTGGACCTGGGCCATCTAGACAAGGAGAACAGAAACAAATGCCCTTTTGGTAGAGGATTTCAGGCAGAGCAGTTCCCCAGTCCTGTTCTCGCTGCGTTTCCACTTGCGTCAGCATGGAGAGGTCAGCAAGCCACCACGGTGGACAAGGCACCTTGCATCAGGGAATAGCTCAGGCACGGCAGTGCCCAAGCAGCAGGTCCTGGCCCCAGCAGGCAGATGGCCTGGCAGAAGTGCTGCCAGTCCCTGCTCACCCTGGGGAGAAAAGGGAACCCGTCCTTCCTGCGGGAGCTCAGGCACCGTGCTGCCTTCCCTGGGCCAGGGAGAGCGGGGCAGAGGGACACCCCTGGGGAGCCTTGCCATGGGGTTCCCATGTAGGAAGGGTGGGCTTGAGTCTCCTCTCAGGGTAGAGCAAAGCCAGTTGGTGGGGGCTGTGCAGGCTGTGCAGCACCCCCCCCCCCCAGCCAATCCATTGGAATAAATGTTTCCACCGGGAAAACGATACAGCATGCTGCAGCTGAGATAGGAAGTTTTGCATTTTCAGACAGTAAGCAGCATAGTCCTCCAAGGAAGAACCCACTGAGAAATGGAGGCAGTCAATACAGATTTGTCTGGTCACATCTTCTTTTTATTTACCGTATGGGTTTTTTGGGTTTCGGTTTGGTTTTTTTTTTTTTAGAAATGAGATCTGCCAGTCTGTGACACATGTTGCCTTCTTAAATGGGAACTTCCCAGAAGTGAAACACATTGTGGTTGATGAAGCTCAGAATTTTCGTCCTGAAGAAAACTGGCACCAATGTGCCCAGGAGCTAGTCAAGAAAAAAGTGGCATTTTCTGGGTCTTCCTGGATTTCTTCCAGTCCACTCACCCATATGGTTGTGGACTTAAGTTTTCAGAACTGTATCCTCAGGAACGGTTGACCAAAGTGGTCCGTAATGCCAAGCAAATATACAACGTCATGTTTAATCTAATGGAGGAAATCCTCCAAGAACGTAACACAGACATGCCCTATGAGGTGCTGGAAGAGTTGTTTAAACGGGCTGAATGTGCCCATTCTTTGTCAGGTGACTGCATAATAAAAAATAATAAGGGAACGTCTGAAATGGCAGAGTACGTGACCGGGCAGTGCAACAGCTATATCCAGCAAGGCTATCCCGTCAAAGATACTGCAATCCTGTGCAGTACACAGCACGCAGCCCAGGTGTTCAGTCAGATATTGGAACCTGAGCTAAAAAGACAAATAAGGAAATGCAGGGTGAGGCTGATCTTGGGGCGAGCGGAGAATGTTTTAGAAAATGTCATCGTTCTTGACAGCATCCGTCGCTTCTCAGGCCTAGAAAGGAGGATTGTGTTTGGCATCCACCCTGTCCCTGCACAAGAGGAGGTATCTCTCAATCTTTTGCTCTGCGTGGCATCCAGAGCCAACACCAAACTCCATTTGCTGTATCACAAAGAAAAGATGTTCTTAACAGACACGTCTTTAGATGAGTTTACTCTTACCTAGCGCTATGGACACTACAAGGCTTCGCTCGTTTTTTGTTCAGTGATATTATAGGGCAGCCTTAAGATTTTTTTATGCCCTTTCCGTAGCCTGTGCAAAAAAAAAAAAAAATCATTATGCAGTCTCACATACATATTTCATCATGTGTAAGCCTGTAGGATGTCATAAAATTTATTTTAATTAAAGGACATCGCCATCTGGAGAGAACAAATTGCTGAAAATGGCAATTGCAGAAGGAAGTCAACAATTACAAACTACTTGGATAAATCATAGAACAGTTTGGAGACTTGTACTTTCAATTCCTCTGCTCTTTAAGCTGACTGCATATTCTGAGTGTTTCAGCACTACCAGAGTGGAACCACCGCTTGGAAATGCAGCAGGGGCCATCCCTGTTTATGCCCCTGCTGGTGCTGGTGCAAATGGCCAAAACTCTACTTTTTTCAATGGTGGGGAGATGTTTGTGAATTTTCAGCCAATTTGCCTCTTTTATCATCCAAAAAGATAGAGCCACAGCCTGCTTTTGGGAGTGGTGGTGACTTTCTTCACCTCTGCTGGGAATGGGGCTGTGGTTTTGTGGTCACATTGAATCATCTTAAATGCAGGTTTCTGCCCATGGAGGCAGTTCTGTCCCCAGCAGTACAGTCCCAAACCTCTCATAAGTGGGCTCAGGTGTGCAACAGTGTAGAGAGTTGGGAACTTGTGGGGTTTTTTCGCAAATTAGTCTTCAGCCAGGTAAGCTCCACCGTGTCATACAGGTGCCCAAGTGCTAGGAATGTGCTTTCTGGAGAAGGAGGCCGTGCAGGATCACCAAATGGTTGAGGTAGGAAGGGACCTCTGGAGGTCATCTCATCCAACCCCCTGCTCAAGCAGGGACACCTAAGCTGCCCAGGACCATAGCCAGATGGCTTTTGAATATCTCCATGGATGGAGACTCCACAACCTCCCTGGGCAACCTGTGCCAGCGCTCGGTCACCCTCACAGTAAAAAACTGTTTCCTGATGCTCAGAGGAAACCTCCCATGTTTCAGATTGTGCCCATGGCCTCTGGTCCTGTCACTGGGGACCACTGCAAAGAGCCTGGCTCCATCCTCTTGGCAGCCTCCCTTCAGGACATTGATGAGATCTCCCTAAGCCTTCTCTTCTCCAGGCTGAGTAGTCCAGCTCTCTCAACCTTTCCTCGTATGTGAGGTGCTCCAGTCCCTTCATCATCTTCATGGCCCTCAGTTGTACTCTCTCCAGTATGTCCATGTCTCTCTAGTACTGGGAAGCCCAGAACTAGACACAGTGCTCCAGCTGTGACCTCACCAGTGCTGAGTAGAGGGGAAGGATCACCTCCCTCGACCTGCTGGCAACACTCCTCCTAATGCAGCCCAGGACATCGATAGTCTTTTTGCTGCAAGGGCACATCGCTAGCTCAAGTTCAACTTGGTGTCCACCAGGACCCTCAGCAGCCTTCTCTGTAGAGCTGCTTCCCAGACGGTCAGCCCGCAGCATGTACTGGTGCCTGGGCTTGTTCCTCTCCAGGGGAAGGACTTTGCAATTCTCCTTGTTGAACTTCATGACATGCCTGGCAGCCCACTTCTCCAGCCTGTCGAGGTCCCTCACTTGATGCTTCTCCCTTGTGCTCCTCTCTTTTGGTAGCTGCTCACATTTGTACCCACTCAAGCTGTTTAGAAACTGCAGTGGGTCACCAAGATTTCATCATTCTAACTGGGACTATTGGAGTATTGAAGTCAACAAGCTGTTGCAATATAGTGCGTGTGTTGACAGCCCAATTCTTACTGTCATGTCAAATTTGACATAAGCAGTATGGCTCTTCAAACTCTGATTGTGCAAAAACCTGTTGAGCATCTACCACATAATTACATCTTTTCTTTCTGTCTCAGATGTCAACTGTTGCCAGAGCTTTGCCAAAGTTTGTCTAGTAACGTAGTTCCTATTATTGCTTACTCTGATATTAGCTTTTAAAAATCTCAACAAATAGTGACATGATAATGTCATATTTGCCCAGAAAAAAAAAAGTTATTTCACTGAGACTCTTGTGCAATTGCATCAGCTTTCTGCTTTTCTGTAGTAAATGTTTTTTTCTGATTTTGGGATCTCTGGTATTTGTGGCGGCCAGCGTTCCAGGTCCGAAAATGCAAGAACCTTGCAATACCTGCAGGACCACCAAGGAATTTCCACCGCAGCTAATGGTCTGAAAAGGAGGAAGATCTAAATCCTACCCGGTTTTATACTTCAGGCTGTTAGTGTGCCAGTTTAATGTCAGCACTGCAGCGCACTTAAGTGAATATGCCCTCCTGCAGTACTTAAACTTGCCTTGACCAAAACATTCCCGGAGTAGCAATTAGTGGGGAAGCAATTCCCAGCCCAGCATCCCAGGAGTGGTACGGGATGTACCCCCCCCTTCAGAAGGGGGGTCCCAGCTGGTGGAGCTGGGTTGCAGAGCCGTCAGGCACACCGGCCTTGTGGGCAGTGACTCCAAAGAGGACCATGGGGTGACCAGGTTGCTGGGTGGAATGGAGTCCATCTCGGGGCTGACTCCAGGGAAGGGACCAGAGAAGCTAAGATGCCGGCTGAGGAGATGGTGCACAAGGAGGAAGGACACAGGTTCCCAGGGCCACCTCTTCGAGCAAAGAGGTTGCATCATATGGTGTATGTGGATCTCCAGAATGTTTTCACAAGACCCCTCAGCAGAGGAGGCACAGCAGGGAAGGGCCGGGGAATGCAGCAGAACCGGTGGCACCGGGTGACTGGCAGCAAAATGGCGGCTGAGGTGTGGTGTGTGGGGGACAGGGGCTGCCACCCTGGCCCGCCCGCGGAGGGACAGGCTCGTCACCGCTCGGGAGCGAGGCCCTGGCGCGAGGGTGGTGGTAATCTCCGTGAAGATGTCCTTTCCCTGGCAGCCAAACAGCCAAATGTCAGGAAAGATTAGGAAAGGGGTAGGGCATAAACCAGAGAAAGGGGCAGGTTCACAGTCGGCTCCTCGCAGGTTTTGGCCTGGAGCCCCGTGCCCGGGGCGTCGGGGGCACCGCAGCGCGTCCCGTCCGTCCCCTCAGCATCACCAGGGGGCTGCTGGGATGGGGGGGCTTTGCTCTGGGGGGCCTCGTGCAGAGGGATGTGGGAGACCCCCCCCTCCCGACAGAGGCCGGGGGGACCCTCACACGGAGGGATGTGGGAGACCCCCTCACACGGAGGCCGTGGGGACCCTCACACGGAGGGATGTGGGAGAACCCCCCTCACGTGGAGGCTGGGGGCCTCCCTGCTGCGGAAGCCGCCCTGGCGCAGACG